TGCCCATAGCAACTGTGCTGATCTGGTTGACGAAGAGGCTTATCTGGCCTTAGGGAGTTGGGGGTCAGTTGACTGGGAGGCACTTCAGGATCAGAAATTACAAAGTCCATCTCCCTATTTAGTCGGCTGGTTAGCAACGGCAGATCGAAAGAGGAAGATCTCACCCTTCGGCAGGCGACGGAGGGCATAATGGGCAGTCGTTCCATCGGAGTGGGCGGTTGTGGTGGCGAGGAGTCGTCGTAGACAGCTGCCCCATCGGGTGGAACTCGGTCGTCAAGTCGGGAAATGGTCTTTTCAACTGTATCGTTCTCTGTCTCCTCGACTTTCCATTTCTCGTCTTCGCCATGATCCGTCTCTTTTGGTACCTTAAGGCTCGTCTCTGTCTCCTTCGTCCTCTTCGTCTCGACCTCGTCTGATCTATCCGTCGGCGACGGAGACGCCTTCATGCCTATTTCGGTCTGGTTTCGCACCTCTTCTTCATGGTCCATCTCCGCTTCAGCCTGACACATTTTTGCCTCATTCCACTCTTCTCCCATCCTCTCAGATTTCTCTGCTCGTTCCTCTATCCGCGCTTCTTTGCCCTGCAGGCTCTTCGTAGACCGAATGCTCATATCGGCGGTCCAATTCTTGCAGGCCAGCTCCGTGCCTTCAACACTCCTGAAGGTGGAGAGAGAAGGTGGCTGACCGGAAGAGGGAAATCGGCTGGTCACGTTGATTGGGCCAATGCCCATTCGAGCCAGGCGAAGGTCCCAAGCCTCGTCGTAGGCCGTCGTGACTATGCGATCTGACACATTTTATGGGAGAATGAATTGTAGGAATGATGATATGCTTCAAAGTGTCAGTTGCATTTGGTTTTATCGCACCAAGCCAGTCAATACCACTCACAATTGCTTCCAAAAAGTTATCATAAACTGCGATTTTTCTAAACAAATCGGTACCAAAACCATCAGTAAATCAGAATCTAGTTCTAATTAACCACTATGTGATGATGGATTCGAAGCATACCTGGTTCTGCATGATTGTGACACAAAATTATGCCTAATCCACAAATGACTCATTGGCGAATTATGCTTCAGAGTCCAGTCAAAATTAAAAACCGTTTTTGTAGGCAAAATTGCATTAATGTAAAAATAAAGACCACGATTTTGTGGTCGCAGTCTCCTTTCGATGTCGCAACTTGGTCACGTTGTCAGGGCGACCTAGTCCGAAATCTCTTTGACAAGTTGCCGCTTGGCGCTAAGAATCGCAAGACTCACTGAAGCTGTCAAATACGATGGCGGTGAAATGTCTTGGAATATTCCAAGTCAACGGTCTAATGCAGAGAATTATGATAACTAGCATAGCAAGTTGCGCCCAATTAGGTAGCCCAGACAACATGACCAAGTTGCGAAAACGAGGTCAGACTAGGCTTAAAGATAAATTAATTTAAATTGCAAAATTTCAAAACTATCAGTAAATCAGGCTCGAGTTGTAATGTAACATCGGATGATAGTTTAAGCGCCTACTTATATGGTATATAGTAGTATCTTTAATCGCAATCGCAAATAAACTTATGCGAGGTCCACAATTTACCTATTACCAGAGTATGATTAGCCTTACTTGCGTGTAAAGTTCCGTCTGAATAAGAAAGCCTTTTTGGAGGAAAACCTAGGCTAAATTCCCCAGCATCATTAGGCAAACTCACTTTGGTTGCAAGACAATGTGATTAACGGATCGTAAGCCACCTTAAGAGAGTTAAGGTGTCTACTATAACGGATGTATTCACCCGTGGTCGCATAAAGTTAGGAAGGACTGATATTTTAATTTT